GCAGTGCAGTTCATGTTCCCCAGATGTGCCACATTAATAGAGAATACTGACTTTCACAAGAGTTCAGTGCTGATGCCAGCAAGTTGAAAAAAGGAAGCAATTTGTGGGAAGCTTCACAAGGCAGCTTCACTAACTCAGCTAGGAAGCAATTCTGCTTGTAAACAAAGTTTCCAACTTCATAATTTCTGGAATTTTTAGAGATGCAGGAATTAGATAAAAATAAATCTTAGCTTCTCAGTTTCCATACTTCACCCTCTTATTCCCCTCCACCTTCAAGATATGAGGGACGCTCCTCACTCCTATCTCCATCAAAAGCTAGTCTTTCTTGGGGCGCCTCAGTGACTCAGTAGGTTAAGTGTCGGACTTCAGCTCAGGTCACGATCTCATGGTTTGAGCCCCGCATCGGGCCCCACACTGAGAGTTCAGAGCCTGGATCCTGCTTCAGATTCTGTGTCTCCCTCTCTCTCTGCCCTTCCTCCACTTGTATTCTCTCACTCAAAACATAAACATAAAAAAAAAGAAAAGAAAACTAATCTTTCTCCACAGTGCAGTAAGAAAAAATTAACATCTACAGAAGATCTCAGTATTATAACTGGTACTAAAATTTCATACTAAAGCTACAGGATTTTAAGAACTGAGGATTTATTATTCAATGAGTATTTGAGCTCTAATAATGTTTTAGGTAGAGTTACAGGCCCTTTGGGGCTATATCAGTTAATACACAAAATCCTTGCCTTTGTGGAGCTTATATTCTACTACATAGGAAAAGAAAAAGACAAGTTCAATATACATAGGATGTTAGTATGGGGGGAAATTAAGTGAGGAAAGGAATAGGGATGCTGTCATTTTAAATGGGATGATCAGTACCAGGCTCACTGAGGTGACATTTGAGCAGATTTAAAGAAGGAACGACATTGTGCAGAAAGAGGTTCTGGTAAGGACAACAGCCCTGAGGCTCCCGAGTTCAAGGAGCAGCCAGGGAGCCAGACTGGCTGCTGCAGAAGGAACAAAGATATTAAAGAGGTAACAGGGCCTGTAGCCCATAAGGTTTTGGTTTTTGCTTTAAGTGAGACGGGTAGCTATCAAAGTTTTGATCAGATAGAAGTAATACAGAATGTGCCTCACTGGAGACAACAGCTTTTGAGTTTTGCTACAAAAGAGAAACGGAGTAACAGAGGAGAAGCGGCAGGTGAAAACCTAAGGTTTGCTTTGTTGAGAGAAATAACATAATTATATGTTGCATATAAAAACCTTGAAATTAAAATCACAATTCTTGAAATTAAAATCTGATCTTTCCAAGAAAACCGCTTTACTGGATTGCTTTACATACTGAGAGAGGTTAGATTTGCTTGACCCATTCATTCAATGATTTAGTATTATATATATGAAGAAATATAATCAAATCAAAGGGAATTATTTCAGAAATCTGTAAGGAAACTAAGGTTTCAGATTCTGGAAATGTAAGGCATCTAAGTACAAAATTGATTTCTCTACACGCTTGTTCAAATTATGTTTTTCTACAATATTTCCACATAATAGAAAATTAAGGAAACAGGTCATGGAACAAAGTACTGCTCAACAATCACAGTAGTCAAATATTCAAAATGCCCCTTCAACAAATTTTAGGACTGAAGCTCAGGAGTTTAATGATCAGCTCCTTTATAGAATCTGAATATTTTAAAAGATGGTATTAAACTTTTTGTAAAAGTGTCCCTGCATTTACAGAAGTGAACTGCTCTTTTAGGCAAGATTTACTTTTCTTTTTTTATTGAATTGCTCATTTAGTTGTTTAGGAAAAAAATATCAGCTGAAAGGGATTTCTGCATAATTGGCCATCTGTTTCAAGGTAATGATCACAGACTGCACCCTGCAAGTGATTCATAGCTTAGATTCATAGTTTCCTTAGCTTCCTCCTTCAGAGACCTTGAAATAGGTGAAATCCAAATTAGTTTCACTGAAGCATGTTTTTTTTGAGGCAATATTTTTGTGGGGGAGTCTGAGGCTTTAAATGACAAGACCCTTCAGTTTAAAAATAAGTTCTTCTGGGTTTGCATTTGGAATTTGAATGCAGTTACCAGAGCTCATAGCTGCCATGTAATGGACTTGGAACCAGGAAACCTGCATTCAAATCCTGGCTCTGCCCAATACCAGCACAGTGACTCTGGGCAAGCTACTTAACCTCTCAAAGCCTCACCTAGCTTAACTATAAAATGAAAAGAACCCTTACCCCAGTGCTATGGTGATCACGGAATGACCATACTGCAGACTTGCATGCCTAGCACAGCCATGAGCACATTATGAACTCCTAGTAAATATGCCACACCTGAAATCAGGTCAGGCCAAGTCCTTCCTTTCCCCCCTCCTTAAAGAAGGTTCAATTTTTTATACAGTGCTATTTATAACCTTATAGCCACCTCTCTAGGGAAAGGCAGGCCTTCATAGTTAACAGTCTATTGAACCTATTAAAGGGAGGAAATTTTTTCTTTTGTTCCCCCTGACAGCTCAAAAGTTTATAATATGATTCCCCCTTGCTGGGGCGGGGTTGGGGGGTGGGGAATGTGGTGGGAAATAGGAGCTCACCAGAATGTGTTTTAATACATTACTTTGTTTCAAAATTAACTGCGGAGATAATTTAGGATATACTATACCATGAGGACCAGTATTTTATCCCGGATATACTTAACTATTCTTAATCCAAATGGAAAACTCACATTAATGTTGGTTATATACATAAGTAAACTAATATATTTAGAACTAGAAAAATATATCAACTTTGATATAGCAGGTTTATTATCTCGTAATTTTATCTAATTCAGTGCACTGGAAACTGAAAACACTGAAAATGACTGCCAAGCTGTCAGATACCCTGGAAACGTGGGAAGCAACACAACAAGAGAGGTTCATGGAGTTTGGAGTTAGGAGACACACACACATGCATGTGGGTGTAAACCCAGGTCCACTATTTATTCTAATTTTGACAAGTTTGTGAACCTAAAACCCTGTTTCTTCTCTGAGGCAGCAATGATAGATTTTTCAAGAATTAAGTGGAATAAATAAAGTCATGCATCTTGAGCTCTGAATATTGATAAGGAAGGCTATTAATGCAAAGCAACTAAATCTGGAGTCCCTGGATACAGGAGAAACATTTAAAGTTGTCAGTTAAGTATGCGAACAAACTTGCTTAGCTTAGAAACCAGAAGATCCAAGTTTAAATAACATCCCAGATTTTTTCTTGTTATGTGACCTTGCCAAAATCTGATCACTTTGTACTTCAGCTCCTCACCTGTTAGGTATTAGTAATATTAGTCACAATTTGTTAAACATGGACCATGTACCATGTACCAGGTCCATCCTGATAGGTTTATATAGGAACTCCATTTTTTTTAATGTAATTTATTCTTGAGAGACAGAACGTAGGCACGAGCGGAGAGAGGCAAGGAGAGAGGGAGTCAAGAGACCGAGAATCCCAAACAGGCCCTATGCTGCCAGCACAAAGCCCAACTCGGAACTCGATCTCATGACCCCAGGAACATTACCTGAGCCCAAATCAAGAGTGCAACACTTAACCAATTGAGCCACCCAGGTGTCCCCGAATTCCAGTCTTTACAACTCAAGGTAGATGCGATCTGATTTTTGTTTAAGATTTTAAAGTAATCTCCACACCCAATGTGGGGCTTTAACTCAGAACCCAGAGATCAAGAGTCACCTGCTCAACCAATCCAGCCAGCCAGACATTCCTGTTCTCATCTGTTTTATAGATGGCTGATACTTGTTCAAGGCCACATAGCCAGTAAGTAGTAGAACCTGGACTCACATCCAGGCTTATTGGTCTCCAAATCCTGTCCTTCCCTATCCAACGAAATACCTGCCACCTGCCTTTCTTAAAGGGCATGTTCCTGTCAAAGTGCTCTTTGAATTGAAATGTCCTTAACTGTTCTAAGTCAATATTAATAATTCACAAAATGAGTTTGTGATTTGCCCTCAGGGCCTGGGAAATCTGAAAGAAAAAAGGTTATACTTGAAGCGCTCTTTTCATCTCCCCTTGGAAGTTTGCCGTGACCTCAATTTTACTTGAGCAGACATGATAAACATTAAACAACAGAAATCCAAAGGCAGCTCTCTGCCCTCCCTGGAGTCCAGGGCAACATCTCGTGCTTTTCCTCGAAATGTGGACAAAATATTTTCTTGCGCTGACTTACATTTGCAGTTTGCGGGAGGAAAACATAAAGTCGTCCCATAACCAGCCACAGAAACTAGGGTTTTCTGAATCACACTCACAGCGATCTCCAGTTACAGGCACGCAGGCAGTCATTCTAATGAAAGCAAATTGCAGCCCCTTTGCAAAACTAAGGTGTAAAGTGGAGAGCTGACTTTCCCTCTGAAAGTTTTATTAAGTAGCTCCACGCAGTTAGCTATAATTCTCTCCACTCATCCACTCTTGGTATAACAAACATCTTGGGAACTCCACCAAAGGAATTCTGGTGTTTGGTGCTGACATCTGCGGGGCTAAGGAGACCTCGGTTTGCTATCACCTGGAGAGCACTTTTCTCTCCCCTCCGTAATCTGGGAGGTCCTCAGCGTGACCGTCGCCCCGCTGCAGAGGAAGGAGAGTAAAGTCCAGATGCAGTGCAGGGTGTCGGCCTGCCCGGCCGGAACTCCACTCTGGGGAGGCGCTCACGCCCCGAACGGCTAACTCCCGCACGAGGACAGCATAGCCATTTGCACGAGGAAGAAAAGTCGCCCCCGGGAGCGACTGGGGGCTGGAGCCTGGGGAACGCGACTTTCTTGGGTCTGGATTCACCGTCCCCCTCCCGCGAGGCACTTTCAGCTCCCCCAGGGCGCTGCAGGCGCCCTCCACGCCGCACCTTCCATTACGCCAGCCTCAACGCCTCAGCGCCCCGCCGGCCACGGCGGATTGAAGCCGGCGCCGCACGTGGGAGAGGCGGGGGGCGCGCGGGAGCGCGCGCGCGCCAGGCTGCGCCCGAGCACCTGGCCCTTACCTCCGACGCCGAGATCTCGAACACCTCCGCAATCTTGGCGTAGAGCTCCTGGATGCTGGAGAAATCCTCCACTCGGCCCGTGGCGCTGCCGTGCGCCAGCTGCGTGTGGAAAACCAGCTTGCGTGTGGGAACCGGGGGGTCCGGGAGGCTGCTGCCGCTCGCGCCCGCCTGCTCGACCTTCACCAGCTGCGCGGCCTCCTTGGACTTCTTTTTCATCTTTCTCCGCAGCCCCAGGGGCATCTTGCCGGGCCGCGGGCGGGGGACCACTTGCGCTGCCGACCGCCGCCTCCCCAGCTGGATGTCGCGGACTTTGCGCTCAGGCCCCGGGGCTCCGCGCAGGTAACAGCCGCCGCTGGGCCAATGGCAGAGGTGCTTCCGCCTGGCCGCGCCGGGTCAGTGGCCCTTTCCTTCCTCCCGAGGAGAGGCACCTGGGCCGCAGGGGCCACCTGCCCTTCCCTCTGGAAAGAGGACACGTTGGGCCCATTCCTGACTCGTATGTACTGGCTTCTCTCCCCGCCTTTTAAAAAATGCCTCGATTTCCGTAAAAGCCTTGGGATGCTGAAGCTACAGAACACGTCTTAGAATACAAACACGCTGGCCTTTCTCGTGCTTCTCACGAATTCGAGGTAGGACCTCACACAGGATTGGCCCATTGCGGATAGGGATTTAGGTAGAAGTCATTCTTCATCGGCTTTCTCTGAGCCTCTCGCCCTGCAGGGCAGAGTTGGAACGGAAAGTTTTGAGATTGGTACCGCATTAAATTCATAGTCCTACGCCCCCAGCCGGGCCTCAGCGCCTCTCTGTAACCCTTTTCACCCCCACCCCCGGCAGTTTTCTCTCCCAAAAGTTCAGCGCTCTTCCTCAAGTCATGTGCTCCACCCCCGCTTCTTGGTCTGTGCTGAGGACCCTGTCTCTTAATTCTACCGAGAAAACTGAAGCCATTCTGGGCAATGTGTGAGCCACCTCAACTCCCCACCCCTCTGTGTAACTTCACGCATCTCCCCGTCTCCACACTCCAAAGAAATCTCTATTTGACCCTCGCACTTCTCTCTTCTAACATCTCTTTTTTTGTTTCAATTCTAGTATCATTAAGGTAGAGTGTTGTTAGTTTCAGGTGTACAATATAGTGACTGAAGGATTCTCAAGATCTCTGTTTTTAAGCTACCTGTTGTCACTTGTCTTTCTCCTCTCCGTCTGGTGCCGCTCACTGTTGGTCAGAAACCCAAATCTTTTACACTGTTTTCAAGTCTCACCTTTGCAGTTGCCTCAAGCTACATCTTCACAACAAAGTAAAAACAATCATGAGTTCTAGGCTGCTCTTCCTCACTTCCTGAACCCTTTGCTCTTACACTGGCTGTTATCAGACCTTGGCCCCACACTCCACTGAAATTGCTTGTACTATGATCAGCACTTCTTAATCATCAGATATGATTAACTCTTTTCAGTCTTTATCTTACTTGACCTTTTAGAGCATCTGACTGCATTGACCATTCCAGTCTTAAAACATGCTTCTGGGGGCGCCTGGGTGGCTCAGTCGGTTAAGCGTCCAACTTCAGCTCAGGTCATGATCTCCCAGCTTGTGGGTTCGAGCCCCACGTTGGGCTCTGTGCTGACAGCCAGCTCAGAGCCTGGAGCCTGTTTCAGACTCTGTGTCTCCTTCTGTCTCTGACCCTCCCCTGCTCATGCTGTCTCTCTCTCTCTCTCTCAGAAATAAATAAAACAGAAAAAAAAAAAAACATGCTTCAGTTTTAACTTTCCTCTCTCCCTTTTTCTAACTCCGACTTTCCAGGAACTGTTTTCTCAAAGGCTATTATTTTTCCTTAGCCATCTTCTCTTACTCTGCATGCTCTCCTTAATGACCACATCTATTCCCTTGGTTTCAGCAGATGTTGTTGACCTCCAAATTTATATCTGCAGTTCAATCTACCACCAAGGGAGGGGACTGCAAAAAAATTCAAAGTGAGATTGCATGAACTAATCCTTTTCACTCAAAGCCTCTTTTTTTTTTTTTAAATTCTTGAATTCAGAAAATAGGGTAATGTACTTAGTAACCCAAACCAGACATCTTTGAGTCGTCATATCAAACTTTTTCTCCTTCTCCCCACCCCACATCAATTCAGTGCTGAAAATCCATGTTTCCCAAATTAAGGTTAGCAGAGCAGATATCCTAGGAGAGGGAGGGGATCTCCTCTATAGGATAATTTTAACATTTTTATTTTCATGTTTCTATGACTTAAAATTAGTATAAACATATTCCAGTTGATAGAGACTTTAAAAATTAATGTAAACATATTCTGGTCATACTCTCTGAAAATGGGATACTGCCCCAGGATCCCAGGGTTTGAATTTGCCTTTTTGTTTATGATGGCTATTGCACCAAATAGTATTATTTTGTATGGTACTGAGAAAAGAGTAGAGAAAACCTAATATGTAAGTGATTAATTCCTATCAAGTGAAAGCCAAATAGCTTCACAAGATATAATACGAATAAAAAGCTCACTAAAGTTTGATTAAAGTAGGAAGAGACAAAAGGGAACCCTCTTACACTGTTGGTGGGAATGCAAACTGGTGCAACCACTCTGGAAAACAGTATGGAGTTTTCTCAAAAAGTTAAAAAAGAACTACCCTATGACACAGAAATTGTATTACTAAGTATTTTCCCAAAAATACTGATTGGAGGGGACAGTGCTTGTAGCAGCATTATCAACAATAACCAAATTATGGAAAGAGCCCATAAGTCCATCAACTGATGAAAGGACAAAGAAGGTGTATGTGTGTGTGTGCGTGCGTGTATAAATATATAAATACACACAATGGAATGTTACTCAGCTGTCAAAAAAGAATGAAATCTTGCCATTTGCAATGATGTGGATGGAGCTAGAGTGTATTATGCTAAGTGAAGTAAGTCAACCAGAAAAAATCAAATACCATATGATTTCACTCATATGTGAAATTTAAGAAACAAAATAAATGAACATAGGGGAAGGGGGGGGAAGGAAGCAAACCATAAGAAACTCTTAACTATAGAGAACAAACTGAGGGTTTCTGTAGGAGAGACGGGGGAAGGATGCGCTAAATAGGTGATGAGTATTAAGGAGGGCACTTGTGATGAAATCAAGAAACTCTACTCCTAAAACCAATATTATACTGTGTGTTAACTGGAACTTAAATAAAAATTTGAAAAAAAAAATGACAGAATCTGATACTTATGAATGTTTTAAACTTAATCATTTTAAAATTATACTTATCCTATAATTTTTAAGACTTCAAACATAATTCACCTACTTTTAATTAATGAGAACACAAATATATTCATAAATTATATTGCTGATTTTTAATTTAAAAAGATAATAAAAGCAGAATGAGAACTGAGTCTTCCTAAGGTATATGGCAGGTACATTCCCAATATCTAAGCAGTGTGAAGGAATACAAGAGTTTCCAAGAGATGTGGAAATAAGAAAAACTTCAGAGAATAAGCTATGTCAAATAAAATACCAAGCAGAGCAAAAGTATTGACACAGGATGGGAAGGGTGAATTCTACAGCCTTTTCAATTCCCTTTAATTTTCCAATCCTATCCTTCTTTGCCTAGAAACTGAAAGTTTTCCTTGTGTATGTTAAGTTCACCTTCCTGTACAATCTCACTTAGGGAAGCAGCTGTTTCAGCCATAGTCACAGAAGGAAACAGATGGTACACTCACATTAAGAATATTTGGTGATAGTTTAACAAAGGGGCTGGGCAGGTGGTGGTCAAGATAAACTCCTCACACAGAGTATTGTATGTACCCCAGGGCCATTTCTATACCAAAGACTTAAGTGGTGAGGAATTAAAAAGTTCTGTAGGCAAAAACACCTTAAGAAGACCTGTTGACATTTGTTTGAAGGAAGCCTCTAGCCAGAGGCAATCTAGAAGAAAAGCAGCTAGGGAAATAGATAGCCTGACCCAATATTCCTAGACCAGAGCAACAGGAGCCCCTGCTCCAGCCTCCCTTCAGCTGCACAAAACCATACAAGATATGGAGAACACAGTCAAGAGTCAGTGGCCACCAAGAACTCATGCTGTCCCTTCTAGACCATGCTTTTAATACCTAGGATCTCAGATTCCCCTCCCAAAGTGGCCCCAAGTCTCCTTTCAGAAACTTGTGTAGGCTTTCCTAGGTTCCAGGCAGCCGGCACAGTCAGAGTGCACAACCTATGCCTGGGGTAGTCAAGGAGAAGCTCTTTGACAAGAAAAGTTGGGGTGTGGTAGTGGTGGGTGTGGTAGAATACAAAGCTGGATAAAAATATAATATATAATGGGGTAGGCTTCAGGCAGAGACCTGTTTTCTCCCCATGTCCCTACTTTCTAGTGTAGAACTCTGATGTGAGGAACTCTCAATTTGAACTTCACCTTTCAGATCATCATGAAAACATATTACTTAAAATAGGAGGATAGAACAGATATTATTTGACAATCTGTTTTTAAAGCAATTAGTTTTAGTTAGTTTTCAATGGTTAAAATAAGGTATCTGGGCCCCTGGGTGACTCAGTTGGTTAATTGTCAGACTCTTGATTTCAGCTCAGGTCATGATCTCAGGGTCCTGAGTTAAAGCCACTTAAAGGGTGGGAGAGGGAAGGAAGATATGGTATCTGAGCCTCCATTTGTACTCACCCCAGGTCTCACAAATGTGCCTGCCCTGACCTCATTCTCCTTCCTCCCTCAGATCAACGGTGAACTAAACCAGATGCCAGAGGGAAAAAAGTCTCTTGATATGGCCTAGGCTACCGATGCCACCAGGTAAAACTGAAAAAGATTAAGGTTGATCTAGAGAGGCTGGTACACCAGCCCACCTAATCCCTATTTTTCCTGAATTCCTAAAATACAATCTATTGTACTATAAGAAGTGTTTTACAAGAGAGTTTTGTATTTGCATGTATGCTGACTTTTTTCACATATAGTAAATTGTCTACCTAACCACACAGTTCCTTACTGGTAGAATCCATGTTCCATATTCCTCTTTAGTATTCTCTCCAGATTCTCACATAGTATAATGTGTATAATAGATACCAGTAAATATGATTGATAAAATAAATTGACCTTTCTTAATACCTAAAATAAATGAATTAACTTCAATTAATCAAAAGTATAAAGTCTGCACTTTACATCTAGGGCTTACAGTTCAACCCAGGTTATTGATCTATAGTATTTTCACTCAGTAGCACTTAGTGTTTATAATGGCTTTAAAGTGTCAACTATAAAATCAAATATGAATGAGTCATAAAAAATTATAAGATTAAATTAATATAA